ACAACCACTTGGACAGTGGGAGAATGCTGATAAAATTTTCTGTCTCACTGTTAAATTTGTTGTGTAGGATCTGTAGATTCTTCCCCTGTTTTCCGCTCCTTTCTTTTGGGGTTGGGGGTGATTCAAATTTTTCCATTTTTAATTAATAGAATAAGAGAAGTTTGTAGTTGGAATCTTTTGAATCAGAATAATATGCACTGCAGGATTACTTTTTGGGAAGGTGCATCTACAATGATTTGGTTGCCTAATTTCACATATCCCATAATTTTCTTTGACTAAGGTCTCGTTTGATACGAGGAATATGGGATAACTAATCTTGTGATTAATTTTAGGATGAGCTTGTCCCATGTTTAGTTGGTATAAAATCATGGTATAACTAATCCCGGAATTAGCTATACCGGGATTTTAGTGTTATTTTTATCCCACATTGAGGGTGGGATAACAATCCGGGATAACTCGTTCCCCAACCAAACGTCCCCTAAGAGTTTTGCGCTTACTATCATGCAAAACAGAAGAAAGAAATTGGCTAGAAATTGAGTAGGAAAATATTAGTTTTCCATTTTTTTATAACCTGTACGCTTAAGAAAGGATTTGATTCAGAACATGTATCATATTTACTGAGACAAGTTAAGTGCTCACTATATATGTGAAAGTATTTTACCATTTGTTTCTTCCATCTGCATGCAGATGACTGAGGATGATCCTGCTGAAACTATGCTTGGTATGTTATTCAGTTCCTCTCCAAGACAAGCTGAAGATCCCTCCGGTTCAGAAACCACTACTCCAACTTCTAGCCTTTGGTCATCACGCGCTAAGAGACGAGTCGTCTTCTCAGAAGGTAACTGATAACTCTGTGTTTCTCTGTTTGCATGTCTGGGAATATAGTTATGTAGTGTCCCCCTGCGCCACCTTGATCCACATGCATTGCAGAGCACTGGTTTTTCAGGTGGCCCAGGTCTCCAATGGCGGGTTTCTGTTTGAGTTCAAAATTGATTAGTGTTTAAACTGGGATAAATATGAATAAAATTCTTACGGGTCAGAAACTAAAGCACAATGATCATTGACAATTAAGATTTTCTGTAAAAAAGGTATTGAATGTATTGCACGAGAATGGAAGTGTCATGAAACTAGAGTATGTATAATATTAGAAACAAGAGGAAATTTCCTTGTGTGAAACATGTATAGACTTTTAGGATGCTTCAACTGTATCTTTATTCACATTTTCATCACCATGTTAAGGAACCATACAAGAAAGTTGAACTTTGAGCTTGATGGTAGAAAGATTGAAAAAGATTTGCTTGATATGTTGAGGAACCATGCAAAATAGTTAATCTCTCGACGGACTGCATATTTTTGCTTGCTATTTTATGGAAGAATGTTACCATCTAAACCGACAGTAATTACGGTATAATATTAAACAGGGACTATCTCTTTCTCTAGCACTCAACAATAAACCCCCCTCAGCGGTGGATCTGCACGCCACTGCCCTGACCACCGGAGACCATGTACGATTTCCCCCAGAACACCATGTGTCAGTCTTTCTTATTATCCCTAGACTACTCCACTTGGGTAACCCCTCAAGTTCCCTACCACCTCTCTTGTTGCTTTCTTGATGCAGTCAATTGTTTTAGCCCACATATTAACTGCGTCCCCACTAGCTCGCTTTCCTTCTTCATCGTCTTAAACCTCTAATTATTCCTCCTCATCTAAGCTTTAACTAACGTCTTGTATGCAACCTTCTTGGCTTTTATTGTTCTTTGGACCTCTTCGTTCCACCACCAATTTCTTTTGTGCCTCTCTGGATAACCCTTCGAGACCCCCTACACCTCTATTGTTGCTTCTCTGATGTAGTTTGTTGTCCTAGCCCATACACTATTTGAGTCCTCACTACTCTCTGAATTCCTCATAACCACTAACTTCTCTCCAATTTCCTAAGTGTTGGGTTGTAATCCCCTCTCTTGATCCAGTCCTTTCATAGACCTCTATCACATTTTCTAAGGAACAAAGAATCTATCTGAATCTTAGCCACCACACTACAAAAGGTCACCAAGTGCTCCTCCCTCTTTTAGAAACTGGAATTAGCTATGATCAACTCGATAGCTTTGCGTAGTATAGAAGCAAAACTCCTATCCTCCATTTCTATCCCCAAAGCTGAAAGTGCCTTGTACATCATCATATCCTCTCGAAGTGGTCCCTATGTGACTATTAAAATCCCCTCATAAAATTGGTTTCTCAGTACACGGGATAACTCTCACGACCTCGTCCAACTCCTCCCAGAACAAAGAAGGTTTTTTTGACCTCATTGTCCAAACCCGTTTGCTGCACTTGTGCACTAATTAAGTTAATAGTTAGCCCTCCCAAAGCTAGCTTAATGAACATTAACTTATCATTCACCCTCTTAATCTCTACCGCTTGCTCCTTGAGTTCCTTCTCTACTAAATGCGTACTCTATTTCTACTCCTCGATCTTCTTGAGTAATATAACTTAAATCCATCTACAACCCTCGCCTTGATTCCTACCCTTTTGTTGACTTGAACACAAGCTATATTGATCTTCCTCTTCATAAGAATCTTAACTAACTCTATCGACTTCCTCGTCAAAGTCCCTATGTTTCAAGACCCAACTCTCAACCTAGGATCTCCCTTGGTACCCTTACCACCCCTGCCCTCCGCTCCCACTGCCAATCAAGTACATGACCATAAACTACATCAAACCCTGAACCTGAAGCCACTAATGCCAGTTTTTTTGAGACGGACTTTTTTTTCTTCTTGAGAAGGACAAATACCCTAAATCTTAACATTGACAGTCACACAATTCAATGACGAAAATAAATAGAAGTACTAAGCTATAGAAAAGATATTGTTCAAAATGGGAACAAAAAAATGCAGTAGTATTTGTAAGGGCGCAGCAATAAATTCACGAATGCAATATCAGATGAAGGAAATCAGTTAACAAGCAAGCAACAATAAGGAGCTGCACAATCTGTTAAGGAAAAATCAGATTTAGACTGATGAATCTAGGATTTCTAGAACATGGGTGCACCACTAAAAAAAAGAAGGAAAAAATGTATTGAGTAGGAAGTGATTCCAAGTCCTCTATGTAAATAACTAAACATTTACCCAAGTGCTACATTTAGCCTTTTTATAGCATGGGTGCCACCACATAATATTATTGGGAGGAGGTTTGGAACACTTTTCGGTCATGATGGGGTTGCACTAGGGATCGACCCTTAGCCTGTTTCTTTTTGCCTTAGTGATGGATGAAGTGACACGATATATTCAATGGATGGGATTGTGGTTTATGCCATTTACAGAAGAAATAGTATAGAATAACGAGACACAGGGTGGATTTAACGAAAAATTATAAGTTTTGAAACAGATCTCAAAGACTAAAGTTTCAGGTTAAGCAAAACTAAAATAAAGTATTCCGCGTGTAACTTAAATGACGTAACACTTGAGGCAGAGGTGGATAGAACTTACGCTTGATGCCACAATGGAGACATGGACCTTGTCTACCCATTAGATCTGATTGTGAATTATTCAATTCAAATCAGGTTGAATTTGCTGCTGCTAACTTTTAGAGTTCGATTTGCTCTCAAAATCTAAAATGCCTGAGTGAGGTGACGGGTCAGCATATATATAGACAGATAAGAATTTGGTAGACTATAGCTGGTCCCTTATATGGAAATATATTAATTATGATAGATTTTTTCATTAAATTTTATGTATTCTGAATTTTTCTTTTTCCCCTTATGACAGCTCATCAACTTTGATTACAGTAATTTGTGAACTATTTACACCTTTAACTCCAATGAGAGAAGTCTTAGATTCTCTATCTAATGAAAAGGGTGTGGGGATTTGATGCTTGGTCTGGGTGGGGTGAAAGCTGGATTTGGTGAATCTTAATATTTTTTGGCCTTTAATCTAGTGGTCAAGGCTTATTAATTAACGAATCTTAAGTCAAGGAAGTGTTAAATAGTTTCAAGATGATAATTCAAGTATCTAAGAGTGAGCAAATAAAAGAGTTGTCTAATAATAAGGACGTATAATCTATGTTGCTCGGACTCTTCAAAAATGTCAATGGGTGCGTGTCGGATTCGCCAATAGTAGTTTATTTTTGGAGAATCCGACATGGGTGCAACATTAAAAGTGAAGAGTCTGCGCAGATCTAGAAAAGAATGACTACATTCAATTTCTTTCCAATAATGTTTTTTTACATCCATTTCCGCTTGCTCTAGTACAATAATCAAATCAACCGTTTTGCCTAAATATAAGATGGTCTCATTAATACTATGCAGGTGAGAGTTGAAGTCCATACAAGTCGCTTCTTGACTGATAATTGGTTTAATTTCTTATTTGGTGAGTATGCCTCAACTTGTGAATTAAATTGAGAAGATACTGGGATTAACATAGTGCTGGCTATTTCCTTGGAAATTTTCTTCAAGACTTTGGCTGCTTTATTCTGATATTCTGGTGCACTCGAAAACCACAGTACTGTGGATTTGCAAAAGCTCAAGCTTCTGAAGGCAATGTTGGCCCAGTAAAAAAGATTTTAAAAAGAACAAACGACGTTTGTTTTCTTATCAGGACAAAATTGTTTTCTAGAAGAGCAAACAAACATTTTCAAAAGAAAACAAAACAAAAAAAAAAAAAGCTTTTGTCGGTTTTCTCTTACTCAAACCAAAATTGAACCAACTTCTACATTATCCCCAAATTCTAAATATTATCACTTTGACTCTCTTCTTGTAAATGAATTTACTGTTTCATTCTATTCCAACAAGAAATGAAAAGTAAATCAGTTTCCAAAAACTTCCCAATAGACTGTTTCAACACACCTTAATGAGTTGCCAAATCATGAATGTTCTCATGTTTTTCTTGGCAGTTTTAATGTCACTTTAAGAGGGCCTTATCTTAACATTAGTCCTGAAAACTAGACTCATAATTTTTTGGTATGTTGATATTGACTCATCTTAAAAAGATTTCCTTGTTCTTGTAATGCAGATATCCTATTATGGTCTTAGCAACCGTTTTATTGTTTAATCGACTCGGTTGTGAATGTTTCCCCTTTTTAGGTGAGAGTTTCCCTGCTGCTACTGAGATGCAGCAACGACACTTATTTTTTCCATCTTACCATGATTGCGCATTTATATGCCACCATTGACAGAATTTCATGTATATATCCCTTTATGGCATTAGAGGGATTGAGGAAGATGAGGAGCCCAACGCCTATTCAAATAATTTTTTTGCCCCTTTTCTTTCTAGTCGAAACTTTATTCAAGATTCCGTATTGAAATTCTTTATTTTTTGATAGTTGTATTTTGGTCAGTGTTTATTTGATGGTGTGGATTATACTAAGTTCTTTATTAGAAGATTCAGCTATTAGGTTGTGAATAAAACCTATTTGGCGGGTAACAATAATTTGCTGCTTTCCTAGTTAGAAAAAAAGGGTTTTAGAAGGAGTAATCTTTTCCACCCTCAGTTCCAGTAGTTTCATTTTGCATAGCCACGTGATCCATTATATTATTGTTTTTTCTGAAACAAAGGACAATGCAAGACATTGAAGTTGTAATGACAAGCTTATGTAAGTCAAATTCCCTTTGAGATGTCACACATCTAATTCTACCACGAGGTCCAAAAATACTAACAAACTTATAGGTAAGCAGACGGTGGTAGCCATCGGAATTAACATATTAAATGCACCTAAAAAGTATAATTTGACATATCTAATTCATGGAAATTCCATCCAATAAAACGGAGCCTTCCCAGGACCCCCGCACATAGCAGGAGCTTTAGTGCACCGGGCTGCCCTATTGAATCTTATGCATGCACCTCAAAATTCACTTAGAGATTTGAATTTTCTACAGGAACATTCATTGAGCAACAGGCATTATCTTCTGCCATTGGAGATAGAGACGTCGAGCGTTCTGTAGTAGTAGTTGGTGATACCAGCAGCATAGCTCCAAGACCAATCTCATTAGGAGGAATGTATTTGTTCCTTGCATAAATGAGAGTAGCATCTTCACCACCGTCTGGTATGTTTTCAAATTCTGGTTCCTGTAGACTATTATAAAGTTGCCTCTGGAGTCTTTCAACAGGTGACAAAATGCGTTGCATAAGCTCTGATCTCTTTCTTTTTGGGACTCTGTTAGGATTCCAGATAGGATCTTTGTCTGCTTCTCCCAACAAAAGGTAAATGTTAGTGCACATAAAACAATAAGGTATTAATACAATAAAATTTATTTTGGTCAAGCTAGTATTATTTGTATGGTTAAAGTATAGTTGGATTGGTCAGTTCATATCTTTATTGAAAATCCTAACTTCAGTTCATTGTGTAAAGGAAAGTTAGTTCTCAAAATTTAGGGGAGACACTATAATAAATGACCATTTAGCAAGAAAGAAACCAAAGATTGTGCTTGTAGAGTATCATCTAGTAATTACTTCCCTACGGCTTATTTGGTAAAATCCTGAATGTGATTTGACATTACATAATTTGACAAGCACATCACAGTAATCAGAAAACGAAAGGAATTTCCGGCATAAAAATAAATTCATGTGTCGTGAATCTTGATACACGCTTATCAAGTTGTCTTAGAGCTCATGGTGTAAATGATTCTTTTGAATATTAGATACCAACATAAAACAACCACTTGGACAGGGGAAGAAAGAAATTGGCCAAAAATTGAGTAGGAAGATATTAGTTTCCACTTTCTTAATACTCGTACGCTTAAGAAAGGATTTGATTCAGAACATGCATCATATTTGCTGAGACAATTTAAGAGCTCTCTATATATGTGAAAGTATTATACCATTTGTTTCTTCCATCTGCATGCAGTTGACTGAGATTGGTATGTTATTCCTTTGCTCTTCAAGACAAGCTGAAGATCCCTCCTGTCCAGAAACCTCTACTCCAACTTCTTGCTTTTGGTCATCAAAATATAAGAGATGCGGGTTCATCTCAGAAGGTAACTGATAGCTCTGTGTTGCTCTGTTTGCATGTCTGGGAATATAGTTATATAGTGTCCCCCTAACGCTCCACCTTGTTCCACATGCATTGCAGAGCACTGGTTTTTCAGGTGGCCCAGGTCTCCAATGGGGGGTTTCTGTTTGAGTTCAAAATTAATTAGTGTTTAAACTGGGATAAATATGAATAAAATTCTTACAGGTCAGAAACTAAAGCACAATGATCATTGACAATTAAGATTTTCTATCCACAATTCATCCTAAATGACCTCAGTTCCAGTTAGACTAATGGCAGATGTACTCTATGTTTTATTTTTTAACAGATGCACCATTTTATGGAAATTTAGGTATTCAGTGTTTATGCATGTGAGTCTTCAAAATTTATTTGCTGAACATCAGGCACATAAATCTTAAGCATAACTGAATCAAGTATCCTGTAAAGCATGAGATTATTGATAAACATAAAAGATGGGATATAGGTGGTGAATAGAACTTACGCTTGATGCCACAATGGAGACATGGACCTTGTCTACCCATAAGATCTGATTATGAATGATTCAGTTTAAATCAGGTTGAATTTGCTGCTGCTAACCGTTAGAGTTCGATTTGCTCTCAAAATCTAAAATGTCTGAGTGAGGTGATGGGTCACAGTATATATAGACAGATAAGAATTTGGTAGACTACAGCTGGTCCTTTTATGGAAATAGATGAATTATGATAGATTTTTCATTAACTTCAATTTCTTTCCAATAATGCTTTTTTACATCCAGAAAAGAACTAGTACATTCAATTTCTTTCCAATAATGCTTTTTTACATCCATTTCCCCTTGCACTAGTACAATAATCAAATCGACCGTCTTGCCTAAATATAAGATGGTTTCATTACTACTCTGCAGGTGAGAGTTGAAGTCCATACAGGTGGCTCCGTGACTGATAATTGGATAAATTTCTTATTTGGTAAGTATGCCTCAACTTTTGAATTAAATTAAGAAGATACAGGTATTAACATAGAGCTGGCTATTTCCTTGGAAATACTCTTTAGGACTTTGAACCCGTTTGGATTGGCTTAAAAAAAAGTAGCTTTTAAGTCAAAAAGTCAAACTGAAATGACTTTTAAGTCAATAAATAAAAAGTAGGGGAGATCTACTTTTGGTTTTGACTTTATTTTAAGTCATTTTAAACTTATTTTAAGTCTTTTTTGATCTTTCCAAACACTCCCCAACTTATTTTAAGTTATTTTTGACTTATTTTAAGTTATTTTTTATATTTGCCAAACACTTTCCGAAGTAAAAAACTGACTTAAAAGTAAGTTTGACCAACTTTTAAGTCAATCCAAACACCCTCTTTGGCTCCTTGATTCTGATATTCTGGTGCACCCAAAAACCAATGTACTGTGCGGTTTGCAAAAAGCTCAAGCATCTTTTTTTTTAAACTTAAAAAAAAAAAGCTCAAGCATCTTAAGGCAATGTTTCCCTAGTAATATAGGATTTTAAAACGAACAAAGCACGTTTGTTTGATTATCAGGACAAATTGTTTTCTAGAAGAACAAACAAACATTTTCAAAAAGAAAACAAAACAAAAAAAACTTGTCGGTTTTCTTTTACTCAAACCAAAATTGAACCAACTTCTCCATTTACCCCCAAATTCTAAATATTATCAATTTGACCCTCTTCTCGTAAATGAATTTACTGTTTCATAACCTTCTTTTTCAGAAAGAAACGAAAAGAAAATCAATTTCCAAAAACTTCCCAATAGTCTGTTTGAGCACACCTTAGTGAGTTGCCAAATCATGAATGTTTCTCATGTTTTTCTTGGCAGTTTTACTGTCAATTTAAGAGGTCCTTATCTCAAAATTAGTCCTGAAAACTCGATTCACAATTTTTTGGTAAGATGATACTGTCTCATCTTAACAAGATTTCCTTGTTCTTGAAATGCAGTTATCCTATTATGGTCTTAGCAACCGTTTTATTGTTTAATCTACTCGGTTATGAATGTTTCCTTTTTTAAGTGAGAGTTTCCCTGCTACTAAGATGCAGCAACGACATACTGATTTTTCCATCTTACCATGCTTGCACATTTATATGTCACCATTGACAGAATTTCGTGTATCAGCCATATGGATTTTTCTTTATGTCACGCTTTTTCAGTATTACCATGCTTATGCATTTATATGTCACCATTGACAGAATTTCGTGTATCACATGGATTTTTCTTTGTCATGCATTTTCCATCTTACCATGCTTGCGCATTTATGTCCCCATTGACGAAATTTCATGTATCTAGACATGGAGTGTTCTTTATGTCATGCTTATTAACTTCCAAATAACAACCACTATTTATGCCTCACTTCAAGCAAGTTGGGGCGACTCTATGATTCTTCGTTATTTTGCTTCATTTAAGATCATCTCATCATGCTTGGTGATGTAAAAATATTTATTTCCTATTTAAGATTACTAATGTATTACACATGCATAGGAGCGGGGGTTTTTATCCTGCGCGCACCCAAAGGGGTGGCTATGGGTTTTCCTTGTTTTAAGAAAATGTATTACACATGCATATTACATAATATGTAGAATATCACTATAACTTTTGAACTCTTGTATGTAGAATTAGGGGAAAAAACAGAGAAGAAATTGTACAAGCTAGCCAATGCGATAGAGAGGAGGGCACGTGACCTGGACCAAGTGACGTGCATCAAGGACGAGGTCGACGAAGTACTGGTTTAGGTGACACTCATTAGACGAAGTTGATAGTCATACTTCTATATACTCTTGAATGAAGCGGAGGACATTCTTGTGGGAGATATAGTGCACTCTGAGAGGTGTCACGATTTTGGGTATTGTAGGTGTATAAAGGTTGAAAAGGTTAAGGTTGAAAAGGTTAAGGGTGCTATTTGTAGGGTGCACAGGGAAGAGCGAACGAGCCTGATGAGATCCCGATGGAATTTTTGAAGACGGTGGGTAGGACATGTATGGAGTCACAGACTAGGTTGTTTAATATCGTTTTTAATATTGTGAGAAAGGCTAAAGAATGGATGTGGAGTACAATGATCCATTTGTACAAGAACAAAGGTGACATTTCTTAATCACAACAACTATAGGAGTATCAAGCTGCTAAGCTACATTATGAAAGTTTGGAGAGGGTGGTAAAAATGAAGGTGAGGAGGGGTATGTTTATTTTCGAGAATCAATATAGATTCATGTTAGGGCACTCGACTACAAAAGTCATTCATCTTTTAAGGAGACTGGCAGAACTGTATAGAGCGGAAGAGGATCATTTACCTAGAAAATGCATACAACAAAGTCCCAAAAGAGGTCTTATGGAGATGTGTGGAGGCTAGAAGCTTACCTATGGCGTATGATCAAGGACATTTATGTTGGAACCAAGATCAGGATAAGGACAGTGAGAGGAGACTCAGAGCATTTCCTAATTATGATGGGGTTGCACGAGGGATCAACTTTTAGCTTGTTTTTATTTGCTTTGATGATTGATGAATTGACATGGTACTAAGTTGAGGTCCGTGATGTATGTTATTTGTGGATGACATAATTCTAATTGACGAGACTCACGTCGGAGTTAACGCTAAGCTATAGGTTTGAAGACAAACTGCAGAGTCTAAAGGGTTCAGGTTGAGCATGATCAAGACATAATACTTTGGGTGCAAGTTCACTAACGTAACCATGAGACTCACATGGAAGCGAGGCTTGATACCAAGACATCCAAAAGAGAGGAAGTACCAAGTATCTTGGGTCTATTATCTAAAGAAACGGGAATGATATCACACATTGTATTGTTGCAAAGTGGATGAAATAGAGGTTCGCTTATGAAGTCTTGTGTGATTAAGAGAAGGTGCCACCAAAACTTAAAGGCAAGTTCTATAGAGTTTGACCAACTTTGTTGTATGGGCGGAATGTTGGACAAGGCGTAGTTCACCTCTATCGCTTTTCTTCCCCGAAGCGAGGCATAAAAGAAAAAGTGTGCGCTTCTACGACTAAAGCGAGAAGAGAGAAAGGAATGGAAGGCGCGTATTAGCAAGTTCGACTGCTGCGATGGGTTTTATAATAAAATTTTGCAAAAACTTACTCATGCGACTTCTCTTCCTAAACATCTGCTTAGAGTTCGACTGCTCGCCGCTCGGAGCATGTGACTTCTCTTCAAGGTAAGTTCTTCTCTTCTCATCTTTTTTTCTATCTTCTCCTCTTCTTCATATCTCTATTTTCTCTGCTGCTACTCAACTGCACTGCTGGTGCTGGGTTACTCTTTTTTCTCTTCTCTATTTTTTTCAGTTCTTCAACATGCTGCTATTATTTTCTTTAGTTTGCTCTGTTTTTCTCTATACTGCAAAAAAAAAAGAAAATATGTTTTGTAATATTTTTGTCTGTTCTAACAAATAATAAATGCCATATTCCACAACTTCTAGAAAGAAATAGGGAAAAAGAGAATTCAAGAGGCCCCTAAGTATCAAAATAAAGATAAACACGAGTGCACTAACTTAATAGTTTTGTATTATCGTAACAAAGGAGCTTTTAGAGTCTCGTTGTGCAAACTTTTTCTGCTTTGTAATGTTTCTCTGTATTTTGTCTCTTTTTTTTGAGAAAGTAACTTTGTATTCACAAAAAATCATCATCAAAAGAATGATGAGTTGGGGCACTTACAACCCACAATGGGTGGGACACATTCTTCACAAAAACTAAAAAGATTTACAATTTGCCTATGAAATCAACTAGAGTTACTACCTCCCCCACTATATTCTGTTTACACCAAAAAAATAAAAGGCTTAGGCATTTCATTTTGATCTTCTGTGCGTTCCAGCTTTTGCCTTCAAAACATCTGGTATTTCTTTCCTTCCATAAAGTCCACCAGATACAAATTGGAATGTTCATCCACCAATCTTCGCTCTGCCCTCTTCTTCCAATTCCTTTCCAACTGTTGAGTAGCTCCAGGGTGGTTTTAGGCATTACCCAATTTACTCCCAGAATACGTAAGAACATGTTCCACATATTTGCAGCTGTTTTGCAGTGTAGAAACAAATGACTATTTACCTCTGTTTCCTGATCACACATAAAGCACATTGAGCAAATATGTAAACCTCTTCTTTGTAACACCTCATGAGTTAGACATGCTCTTCTGATCACAAGCCAAGTGAAACATGAAACTTTCAGTGGACTTTTGACTTTCCAAATTAACTTCCAGGGCCATATATCTATCAAAGATTGCCTGTTGTTCATCTTCCAGTAGCAAGATTTTATGGTAAAAAAACCTCTACTGTGTAGACTCCAAACTGGTTTGTCTGGCCCCATAGAGATACTTGAAAAGGAGTTTAAAACCTGAAGCAGGCCTGCTACTCCATCAATTTCCCAGTCATTCAAAGCTCTTCTAAAAATCAGGTTCCACCCTTGCTGGCTCCAAACCTGAGATACAGTGGCATATTTTTTAGGCTAATGATGTATAGTTGAGCAAAAGTGCTTCTTAGAGTATCATCACCTATCCAAAGCTCATTCCAAAAATCAATCTTCACTCCATCACCCACTCTGAATGAAATATTGACGTTGAATTTTGTCCATAATCTCCTGATGGTTTTCCATACACTACACCCAAAAGTACCCAAAACTTCCTCAGTTGTCCACTGATTGAGCAGCCCATATTTTTCTGTGATGAACCTTCTCCACAGAGCCATATCTTCTATGCAAAATCTCCATAACCATTTTTGTAGTAGGCATGCATTCTGTTTGCTGAGATTCTTTATACCTAGGCCCCCTTGTTTTTTGTTGAGTGTTAGGATATCCCACTTCACCAGGTTGTACCCTCTCTTCTCCTTGTTTCCTTGCCAGATAAAAGATCTTCTCAGTTGATTGATTCTCTTTTCAATGATTTTAGGTATTGGGAAAAGACTCATCATAGAAGTGGGAAGGCCATCCAACACAAATTTAATGAGTGTCAACCTCCCTCCAAGGGATAAATATTGACTCTTCCATCTTGTAAGCTTCTTTTCACATCTTTCCAACACTTCATTCCAGACTTCCAACTCTTTGTTCTTAGCTCCCAGTTGCATTCCAAGGAATTTTGTAGGTAGGGAAGCTACCTGGCAACCGAGAGTCTCGGCTAAGGATTGCATATTGTCAACTTGATTGATAGGAAAGAGGGAACTCTTATTCCAGTTAACATGTAATCCAGAAATACCTTCGAAAAATGGTGAGAATTGCCCTTAGGTGCCTGACAGGGCCGGCTCTTGCCTATATAATTTTAGGCATTGGCCTTAGGCCCCCAATTTTTGGGGGCCTCAAATTTTTTATAAATAAAAAATTATGTATCTTAACCCCATTCAAATAGATGAAATTAATAAACCATTGTTTCGTATTCTTCCATTTTCTTCGTTAACACTCACATTATTTATCCTTTGTAACTCTTTTTGCACTCTATTTCTTCAAATCTTTGATAGTTAGAGTAATACACTCTCAAAAATATGGATCAATAGTCGAAAAGTGTTGAACAAAGTGCATTACAAATTCTTTTTTTTTAATGTATTTGTTAATTTTCATATTAAAGTAGGTATACTAAGTTATCAACTTTTTGAATCAAATGCTATGATTCTAACTCTTATCTTTAAAGTTTATTAACTTATTACTTATAAAATTGTGTTAATAATTCATATAATAATTGTCTCAACAAAAGATGTTTTTCAATGTTGAATTGATAAAAATCTTACTTAAAACTAATAATTTTAAAAAAGTGTTTGAAAAATCATTTATATAAAAGAGATTAAGTAGTAATTTATATCTAGAAAATTAGCAAAATAAATAGATATAGATAAAAGTTATATAGATTTTAGGCCTCTAATAAAAATTTTGCTTTAGGCCACAAATTATGTTGAGCCGCCCCTGGTGCCTGATTTGAATCTCCTCAGCTTCACAAAGAACTAATGAGTCATTTGCATACAGGAGATGTATAACCTCCAAAGCATCTCCCCTGACTGTTTGAGCACTGAAACCCTTCAACCATCCTTTTCCATTTGCAATCCTTATCATGTGATTTAATCCTTCCATTGCCAGTAAAAATAGAAAGGGAGATATAGGGTCTCCCTGCCTCAATCCCCTTTGGGACTTAAAAAAACCTTCAGTGCTCCCATTTATGATGAGTGAAAATTTCACATTGGATATGCAAAATCTGATCCATTTGATCCATTTGTTGCCAAACCCCATATCTTTTAGAATTTTAAGAAGGAAATTCCAATTGACACGGTCATAGGCCTTCTCAATGTCAAGCTTACACAGAATTCCAGGTATCTTTTGTTTCACCCTAGAGTCCACCAGTTCATTGGCCAACATAGCTGCATCTAGAATCTGCCTTCCTTTCAAAAAGGCCATTTGGTGTTCATCTACCAATTTCCCCATGACAGTTTTCAACCTTTCAGTGATAAGTTTAGAGATGATTTTGTACACTCCTCCTATCAAGCTAATAGGTCTAAAATCTTTTAATTCTTCTGCTCCTGTCTTTTTTGGAATTAGAGCTATGAAGGTGGCATTAAAAGATTTCTCAAAGATCTCATTATGATGAAAGTTCTGGACAGTCTGCATCAGGTCTTCTCTCAATATTTCCCAACATTTTTTGAAGAAATTTAGGGTAAAACCATCCGGGTTTGGAGCTTTATCTCCATCACATTGCTTAACAATTTGTAGTACTTTTGCTTCTG